CTGGAGCAGGTTAGTAGAAAGCGGAGTCCCCATGGCATTCTGCACACAGCAGGGACCTGACCTGCTTGTGGCCCTGAGGTTTGCATAACCCCATCATCCACACACAAGCCACACTGTAGTTCCTGCCTTTTCTCATTTCTGTCCTAGCCCCATGGACAAGGCACAGACCAAATGCCAAGGCCAGCTGTGGTCCTGTGCTTCTACTCATGGGTAGGTGCATAGCCAAACCAGGACACATCCCAGTGCAACCCATCATAGGGCACCAGTCACAAAAGCTTCCAGTGAAAAGCTGCCCAACAGCCACCAATGGACGGATAAGCAAAGAGTGGTATGTCTACACCACAGTACAATGATCTGAAATAAGAAGAAATAAACTAGTGATGTGCACTACCATGTGATGACTCTATGAGCTTACCTGTGAGTGAAAATGAGTACATGCTGTACAAGTCTATTTCTATAAAGTTCTAGAATGTACTACAAAGTTCTATAAAGTTCTTCACTGTTAGAAGTCAAGTTTGCAGTTGCCCTGGTTGGCAGCTGTGACTGGAAGGGGCACAAGTGGTCTTTGGGGTGCAACAATTTTTTCTTGATCTGGATATTGGATCTGGATATAGGATTTCTTGATCTAGCCTCACAGGAGGTGAGGTTAGTCTGTAAGCCTTTACTGAGCTGTCCATTTCATGATACTGCTCTTTTCTGCTAAGGTAGTAACACAGAAAATGTTCAATAAAAGTTGGGACAGAGTGGGGACATATCATCCATTTCTGCAACCACTCTGGCAGGCCCCATGCTGGCCACATGGGTTTGCTATCTTAGCCAGGTGACAAGGCTGATGCTAATGACGAGGCATATGCCACGCACACCATGATGAGGGGCTCTGGAGGAAGATTTAGTGACTCACCCAGTCACCTGATGGGGAGGAAACAGTGCTCAGAGAACAGGGGGCATGCCATGCTGGGGTGGGAAGCTAGGAATGTGGGTCTCCAGGGTGCATGGTGGGCCCCACAAAGATGCAACCCTAAGCCAGAACTTCCATGTGATGCTACGCTTTACCCACTGTCAACAGAGCAGAACTAAGAACTCAGGCTGCAGACACAGTGCTTCCTCCTTGGCCAGACCCCACTCACTGCTTGCTGCACCCTGAGAGAGAGGGCTGGGCATGGGAGGCCCCATGAGACCAGATGCAGCTGGCTTCCTAGCAGGTGACTCAGGAGAGGTGGCAGCCAATGTGAGCTGTAAGACACTGACTCACCCTTGCTCTGAGGGGCTCACACTAGGAAGTAGGGGCCAGTGATTAAGACAGGGACAGGTGTGCAGGGCCCTAAGTCCCTGCGTGGTGGGTAACATGGAGTCCTGGATGTGTGTGCTTGGAGGCCAGGTCTCCAAGGTCTAGGGTTAGGGTAGAGCTGGGGAACAGGGCACTGGGGTGCCTTCTGCTGGATCCAGAACCTTCCTCGGTGTAGCCTCAGGCAGGTAACTAACCTCTCTGAAACTTGGTTTTCTCATCTCTAAAACTGGGGACAAAAAGCAGGCTGAAATGCAGTGAGGCTTGCAGGGTGTGAGTGGGTGCCACACAGAGCTCGGCCCAAACTGAGTAGCACTGGTAACACAGAGTGGAAGTGAATCACTGGGGACACAGTCATCAGACAGCATTTAATGAGCCACTGCTGTGCTCCAGGGCCCGGTCTGGGTGCACAGACCACGGTTTGAAATCTGCAGACCTGGGCTGAAGCTGGCAGTACCAGTGCCAGGAGCCTCACCTATTCCTGCGCTGATAACAACTCCACCCCTTTCTGCTGTGGTACTGGGGACTGAAACCTGGGCCTTCATGTTGAGCTGCATCCCCAGTCCTTTTTATTTTGAGACAAGGTCTCAATAAGTTGCTAAGCTGCCCAGGCTGGGCCCAGGCTGGGCTCACTTGCAATCCCCTTGCCTCAGCCTCCAGAGTGCTGGGATTTTAGGTATGTGATACTACCCCTGGCAGGGTGACAGCTTTCTTTTGCCTTTCTCTTCTCCCTTTCCTTTCCTTGGGAAGTGATGGCATTCATGTTGGAAGGAATAGGGCTCTTTTTCACCAGTGACATGACTTCTAACAAGTTTCCAAAGTGTGAAATGCAGCCTCAGTTTCCCTAGGATGTGAAGAACTGGATTCTGTTTCTGCCCAGTATGTGGCCTTCAAGTTCAGTTGACAGCACCCAGACTACAGCAGATACCCTAAACTGATATTCTCCCTTGTTCTCTCAACTACAGAGGGTAGAAAAATGAAGTTCTTTTCCAGCCTTCCATATGGCTGGGGACGGGGAGGAATGTGACTTTGTTCTGGCCAATGAGATGTGAATAAAGTCTATTGGCAACTTCCTGGGAAAGCTTTTGCTTTGCTAAAATAGACTTAACACGACTCCTTCCCAACTACTTCTTCCTTGAACGTGAATAAGATGGTTGGAGCAATAGCAGCCAACTTGCAACAATGAGGAAGAGGTTAACAACATCACAGAGATACCAGCTCAGCATTGTACATGTTAGTACCAACAGTAACTCCCCACTCTTCTTGTTAGGAGCAGAATAACTTCATGTTTTGCTGTGTGGTCGGCTGGGTTTTGACTGATTTGCAGGGCTCCCATCTTTGCATTCCCCTGTGACTTTTGTTCTAGAGTGCTGGCTCTTGTGAGAGGACATAAGGGTGCCTGCTGTGTATACTGTGGAGCTGGAGTGCTGAGCTCTCAGCTGTGGACTGTGAGGGGATGGAGGACACGTCAAGGCCATGCCTAGGAGTGCTGGGGCCTATGTGGCTGTGGCAACACCCTGCCCAAAGATGTCCACTCTTTCTATTTACATTTTCTTGAGGCTGACAGAACCATTTCAAACCCTCCTGGGCATTAACAACACCCATGGGCTAGCTGGGCACAGGTTCTGTGACTTTTCTGCTGAGGAGGCTGCTCTGGTCGCACTGGGCTGTGGCCCTGCCTGGCTGTCTTCAGCATCCACCTGAGCTCAGCCCCGCCTGGCCCTGGGATGGGGTCCAGCTGATGGGCTGAGGAGAGCCACACACATCTGAGAGGGGCCCTGGCCCAGCTGTGCCTGAGACATGCCTGTCTGCTGTGAACCCTCAGCACCCTAGACTTCTCCTGGGAGTTGTTTCCCCTGGAGAAGGAGACTTCTCTATCAAAAAGCAAATTTTAAACAGACTTTTTTGGATTTTCTACATATAAAGTCATGTCATCTGAGGAGAAAAAAAAGCAAATTTTGAAAACTGCTGCGTTCCAGCCTCCCTTGCAGTTCCAGGCACAGGGAAGCTGCAGCTGGAGAGGGGAAGGTAGACAGCTGGTTGGGGCAGGGGTGTGTCAGGAACCAGAGTTGCCAGTGTCCCTCTCTTGGGGGCCCATCTCCACTTGCTATTACCCACTAAAGCCCCTGCTCCCTCTGGCAGTAGCAGATCCCCCACAAAGCTTCATGCACCAAGCTCCATACCCAGCCAGCAAGCCCCAAATGTGTTTCCCTCACTCCCTCCACCCCAGCCCTCCGACTGCCTACTCCAGGGCCTTTGTACTTGCTGTCTCCTCTGCCTAGAAAGCCCATCCCCTTCATCTCCACAGGACTGGCCATTTCTTGGCCATCAGGTGCTGGCTCACAGGCCACCTCTTCAGAAAGGCCTTCTTCCTCAGAAGCAGCTGTATCACCTCATTCTGTTTTAATTCTCTGTCCCAAACTTCTCCTTTTTCTACATTTTTCTTATTGACTCATTTATCACCTCTGCAGCCTATGAGTGTCTGCTGGTAGATGTGTTATCCGTCTAATTCACTGTTGTATTCTCAGCACACAGACTGGCATCCAGCACATAGTGTGAACCTAGTGAATGAGCTCGGAGTCAATGGAGAGGATTTCCTTAGAGTCACACGACATGGTGTGGGAGAGAGGGCAAGGGTCGGGATAGGGGCTCATACCTCAGTCTGAATGGGGGTGGGAAGCCACCAGCCTGCCCAAGGTCCAAGTTCGGTCACCCTCAGCAAAACAAAGTGCCCAGTACAAATCCACAGCACAGTGCTGCACCCTCCCACCCTCAAAAAAAAAAGTGCCCGTTAATGAGGTAAACACAATCACAACCAGAAATAAGCCGGGCTGTGCTTCTTCAAGTCCACCCAAAGCCATTATCTCTAATTGATCTCCAGACATCAGCTGCCAGAGCGTCTGAAGCCCCTCTGCATCCTCCAGGTCTGGTTACAAGGCCTGGCCTGCAGAGGAGAGGCAGAGCCCAAGGCCCTCCTTGCTGGGGAAACAGAGCCTGTCTGGGCCCCTACAGCTGACAAGGGTCTGGGTGGGTCAAAAGCCACACTGGTTAAAAGCCACACTGCTCAATAAGCTGCCTGTGCAGAGGTCTTAAGAGGAAAGGCCTGACAAAATCACTGGAGGTCTCACCCTTGAAAGAAAAAAGTAACAAAAGCCAGAGAGGACTGTTTTGAGAAAGCACCTTGCAGAAAATATCTCACTAGCTCTGGGTGAAAGAAGCACCTCAAAAACCAGGTTAGGAGTTTTTTCCCACCAAGGGCAGTATGCAGATATTGACTGTACAAAAAATAAAATAAAAAGCTGCTGTTGCACACTAGTAATCCCAGCCATTCAGGAGGCTGAGGCAGGAGGACTGCAAGTTCGAGGCCAGGCTAGGCAACTTAGAAAGACCCTGTCTCAAAATAAAAATAAAAATTTAAAAAGGGTTGCGGATGTGTCCCTAGCACACAGGAGGCCCTGGGTTCTAACCCCCAGTACTACAAAAATAAAAACAAAATGTAGGTCTTAGCCAGAAGATAACAAGTCCCCTCTGGATCTGAGTCAGCCGGGCCCCAGAATCGGGGTCACAAGGTCGGCCATGGGTTCAGTGACCATCTGGATGTTTTGAGCTGCTCCTTCCTGGCTCAGCCCAGGAAAGATGCCTCCTTTCCTGTTGGGCGCTCTTGTCCTTGGAGACAAGGCCGGGAGGCAGGGCTGGTTTAGAGAGGACAGAGCTGCTCCCTCACTTTACAGAGCCAGGGAGCAGCTCCTGCCTCCACCCAGCTCTTCCCTTCCACAGACAGAGCACCCAGGCTGCCCTGCTCTGCTGCCTGCATGGGTGACCGATGGGCAAGGCGTGCATTTCCCCTAGGTGATGAAGGTAAAGGTCACCCTCACATCTCCACTCTTGGGGTGGGTGTGGGTGGCCTGGGAGGGGAGTGAGCCTCAGGGAGCTGCTGGGGACAATGAGCCCTTTAGGTCCCCCTTATCTATGGACCCCATCAGGAAGTGGCCCTGGGAACAGGATGTGGGGTATTTTCCACTCCTTTCCCACACAGCTTCAGGGAAGCAGGAGCAAAGAAGAGAGACAGCCCCCGTGGACCCAGGCAGTCCTGGAAAACAGTGGAAATGCTGCTTTTCTTGGGGTCTTTGGAAGTTGCAGCAAGTTTCTGGGGAGCACCCAGGGATGTTCCAGACCACATATTGATCATGAAAATAATGCCTCCATTGCAAAGGATGTTTAATAATGAGCTCTTCACATTTTTCTTTGTCCTCTGGAAAAGGAGATGTCCTCCTGGATACCATCTTTAAGGGGTGGGATTGCAGTGCTATTCATTTTTCCAGCCCCCAGAGTCCAACACCAGGATCAGCATGCTCCTGGCTCGCATCTACCCTGATCATTGGGTGAACAAACACCCTGTAGTAGAAGTATCTGGCTTAAGTCCTACATGGTCAGGACAGCCGGGAACCAAGAAAGGGGGGAGGGGTTAGGCATTAACATTTTTTTTCCAAAGTGACTGTTTTTTTCAAGCCAGTAAAATTTTTGTGGTGATGGAGTTCAAACCTGGGGCTTTATTCTACCATTGAGCTCCACCCTCAGCCCAGTCAAACTTTTAAAAAGAAGATCCTTCTAGATACTAAAACATATTCCACACAAATTCTTTTTTTTTTTTTTTTTGGTAGCGGGGATTGAACTCTGGTCCTTGCACTTGCGCAGCAGGCGGCAAAACCACTGAGCTAAATCCCTGGCCCTATTAAGACACATTCTACAATCATAAAACAGTGTGATGCTGAAACTCGAATAGTCAAAGAGGCCAGTGGACTGAATGGAAATACATCCTGTTTCAGATGGTTTGATATAAAGGTGGCATCTGAAGCTAGAGGGGAGAAAGCAGATTTTATTATTGTGACTGTTATTATTATCATTTTGCAGTGCTGTGGATTGAACTCAGGAAATTGCACATACTAGGCAAGTGCTCCCACTGCACTGTAACCCCAGCCTTCAAAATAGATTATATAATAAAAGGTAATGATAGGGCCAGGGCTGTAGCTCAGTAGCGCCATGCCTGCCTGGCAAGCGCAAGGTCCTGAGTTTGATCCCTGGTACGGAAAAAACAAAAAACAAAAACCCAACTTGGAACAAAAGGTAATGAGACAAAAGGATCCATACTTCAGAAAATGCCAGGTTAAGCTCCAAATAGATCAAAGATCTAATACAAAAATGAAAATGAGGGCCGGGGATGCTCAGTGGTTTTGCTGCCTGCTGCGCAAGCGCAAGGACCCGAGTTCGATCCCCGGTAACAAAAAAAAAAAAGAAAGAAAGAAAATGAAACCACATGCTTTTTGCTGTGTTGGCTAAGAGGACTGGAGGAAAGGACACCCAGTAACAAGCACACCTAGCACCTGGGGCTTCAGGCTCTTTCCATTTGTTTTTTTTTTGGTCCCGGGGATCAAACTCAGGACCTTGCGCTTTCAAGGCAAGCAGTGGAACCACTGAGCTAAATCCCTGGCCCTATAGCTTGGTTTTTAATATGAGTCTCCAGTAAAGGAAATCAGACTTCCTTGGGAAAATGGCTGAGTCTAGGGCTGGGGCAGGAAATGGAGTCATACCTTGGTACTCAGTTGCTTTGAAACTTGTCAGATTTGGTACTCCGTGCATTATGATGTGAAAATTTTATTCAGGTACTAGTCATTGGCTTGGCACTCGACACGCAGGTTAGAACTTGTCAGTATTGGTTACCTCAGGATTTTCTTGCCTTTCCAGCCAAAACAATTTGGTACCCATCGTTTTTCATAGTTCTTGTTGCACTTCCCAAAATGAATAAAAACAATAATAACTGAGGTATCACTGTATGCAAAATGAGTCTGAGCACCTGATAGTGCCAGAAATGAAGGAAGTACTAAATAAATAGATAAATAAAACCCCAAGAAACAGAAAAACCAAAACAGTGATGCGGCATGTCAAAACAGCACAGAACTGAAAGAGCTCCCAATGACCAAAACTTCATCAATTTGATCCATAAAATAACCCAAGTATGTAATAAATAGCCACAGGTCCATACTGATATAAACAAATGACTAAGCTAATACCAAGGGAGGAGAGGCAAATCTCCCAAGCACATGAATCCCAAAAAACTGTTGAGGACCCTTTGCCCACCAGGCCCTCCCTTCGGAGAGAATTACTGCTGCTTTGCATGTGCAGCCCGTACATGTTATTGACTTTGTGCCACTGTGCAGTGTGCAAAGGGAGAAAAGCACAACTTCAGAGTGGAGAAACCCAGCAAACGTTACCTTGGCCAGGTGTAATCTAGGCCAATATCAAGTCATCCATCTTGTTGAAAGTTTGTAGGCTTAACACATCACAATGAAATGGCCCTCTATGATTGTGGTTTTCCTCTTAATAACCTAATACTGCTATGTTTTATATCAAGAACAACATTAGATAAATTCCAAAAATCCTACAAAGTATATAACCAGTACTCTTCAAAACTGTCAAGTTCATAAAAAATAAGAAAAGTCACATCCCAGAAGAGCCTTAAGAGATATGATAACTAGCAAGCCTGTAATTCCAGTACTCTGGGAATCTGAGGCAAGAGGATTGCAAGTTTGAGCCCAGCCTGGGCAATGTAAAATAAAAAATAAAAAAGGGGAGGGGATGTGGATCTGTATAAAGGTCCTGGATTCAATCTCCAGTAACAATGCCCACCCCTATATACCCACAAAAGAAACGTTGTATCCTGAATGCAATCATGGAACAGAAAAGGACATAAAAACTAAGAAACTCTAAATGGAGACTTCAGTTATCAATATTGGTTCATTGGTTGGAACAAATTATCCTAGTAATATAAGATGTCAATAATAGAGGAAACTGTGTATGTGGCAGGGAGGGGGTCATGTGGGAACTCCATCTCATCTTCTCAATTTTTTCTATAAATCTAAAACTGTTCTCAAAAATGATCTGTGACAAAAATGAAAACATGAAAGTACCAAAAGAACACATGGGGGTGGAATGGAGTTAGCCTTTTTGAGTCTCAAATGCAGAAGCCATTATAGAAAAACATTGATAAATCTGAGTCTATAAAAATAACCAAACACATAGCATACATGAATCAAAAGAGAAAAGGCTAAGGAAGAAAAAAAAGAGGCAATGGCTAACTCTGGGGAATCCAAAGAAAGGAAATGTAATCAAGGTATGCTAATGGGTTAGGCCTGAATCATACGAATGCCGTCTGCAGTCCTAATAATATAAACAATGAATAGTGATTTATAACCCTAAGTAGAGAGCTAAATAGGAGATGGACGAAGGAGGAATAAATGTCCTTGGGAGAGGCCATAAGAATGTAAATACTTATCTCCCGGAGCAAGAAATTAAACAACAACAAAAGCCTGAATTGAAAAATCAAGAACTAGTGGTATAAGCATGATATTTAGAAGCCTGAGGTGGGTACAGAAGAGATAGCCAAAAAAATAGCCAAGAGATAGCCTGGGTGGGGGGTAGAAGATGAAACAGGGAGGCTGGGCCAGGGTCTGCCCTTTCCTGTATGAGTTTTTAAAAAATTTATTCAATAAAACATAAATACAAATAAAACACACACACACACACACACACACTGCCTTGAGGGGGTGAGGTGGGCCCCAACAGTGTCCACTGCACTGCATGTCCTCCAAGGCGGAAATGCCCCAAGGATACTCATCTGTTTAGAGAAATCCAAACAGCAGCCTTGGTCAAGGTCAGTTTCCCAGTTGCTTTTTGTTTTTCTTGCTGCAGCACAGATTTTCCTCAGGGCCAGGGATTTATGGAGACAGGAAAAGGTTTGGGCTATAGATTCTTAGATTTTGAAAATGTGGCCGATGGAATTTCAGGCCTTTCCTGTGCTCTTGGGGCAGCAAGCTGGGTCCCCTCTGTTGACCTGTACAGCAATGACCAAGCTGATCTCAGAGGCCCATGCAGGGCATGGAGCACATCTGAGAGGTAGAGGAAGAGGAGGGCAGTGGGGGAGGGGGAGGCTGGAAAATGAGAAGGCGGCTTCTATGTGCTTCAGCTGGGGAGCCCTGAGGAGAGGGATGGGATGGAAGTCCAGGCAGCCAGGGCAGCGTACCCTGCTGGCTCACAGAGGACTTCAGGCCCACACTGTTCAGTGCGTTTCTAGAGAGCAGATGCAGGTACCCAAGCTGGAGACTGGTCCAGGGAAATAAATGTGCAATCAGTAAGCAAAACTGCATGTGCTGGGCATGATGGCACACCTGTGATCCCAGTACTTAGGGAGAGGCTGAGGCAGGATGATTGTTGTGAGTTTGAGGCCAGCCTGGGCTACATAGTGAATTCAAGGCCAGCCTAAACTATACAGTGATAGCCTGTCTCACAAAACAAAACAAAAAACGCAAATGGTGGAATGGGACTGGCAAAGAGATGCTGAGGGCTACAAGAGCAAGACACTGGACCTGATGGGGTGCATTCAGCCAGACCAACAGACCTCCCACCTCCCCATAGGCAGATTGTCTCAGTGTGGAGGCCAAGACTTTCCTGGGAAACTGTGCCTTCAGTCATCATAAAACAGCCCACTTTGGCCCATTTAGTATTTTTTTTTTTCCTCAAACATTTACTTGTTTGACATTAATAGCACTGACCAGCTTTTCAGTTTCCTCTTTCTTGTGCCATTTAAAAAAAATGTCTTCTTGGGCCGGGGATTTAGCTCAGTGGTTCTGGCGCCTGCCTCGAAAGTGCAAGGTCCTGAGTTCAATCCCCGGTACCAAAAAAAAAAAAAAGTCTTCTGGAAATACCACATGATTGGATTTTGCCATTATAAAAGCCAGTCTGAGGGTCTCTGACTCTGTGCAGTAGAATTTAGCCCATGAACACTTACTGTGATTTATGTTGGT